ACCGGGTGCTATGCCGCAACGCAAATCAATGAACGCTGCCGATGGATCTGTATTTCGTTGGCTAATTGCTGGCAATGGTTTTTGCCGAGTCTGAGACGATGTGCAGCAGCGTACCAGCTGTGGCCTGTACTGAGATTATTCCCATAGCCTCTAAGCTTCATTTAACGTCTTAAACGAAGAAAGAAGAAAACGGTCAGCCGCTGAGGTCAGATTTCGTTCAATCATACAAGCAGCCGCTAACTCCTCTTTCCCTATCATGAATAAATACTATATCGGATAAGTCAATTCCACCCAACATGGAACGAAATCGACACCTTGTTAGAACGTTTCCTATGGTTATACATACGCTGTCTAGCAAGTAAATGGAACACCGTCTGATAGACTCGGAACACGACGTTGAAAACGTTGCTTTGCGTAGGCCAATGGCATCGAATCAGAGTCACGTTGCATTAAAGGTCCCAATACGTGCTACATAAAATAGTTACCCTTGAAGCATAAGGAAATCACAACATTCGGTTGTTGTAAATATTAATGCGTTTTTTTTAATCTTGCAACGCCGCGCAAGAGAGCCTTGTTAAAGTTTTCTTAAAAACGACATATCAACAAAATAACCACATTTGTAAAGGCAGCTAAATACAAAGAAATATGAATAAAGTCAAATCATTATCAGCATGACCATAACAGTAACGTTCAATTCCATTTAACATTAAGCTGACTAAAGATTATATTCTAGGCATAGAGCGGGTACTGAGGGTGGAGAAAAGAGGCTCGAAAAGCTCTCAATTATCTTGTAACAGATTCCTTGTTTCATGGTCATATTGCAACTACAGAGTATCATGTGACACATCGGAAAAAGTGATATCAGACTGTGAGCGACAAGCGGTCAATCCTCTAAGCAGAAAGTGGCACTTGTGTATTACTTGCAGTAAGAAATGATGTAACGCATGACTACTGTAAAGGCCACTTTTATGAATAGCGGCATTGTGATTATCAATACAACTGTCGCGATAAGGATAAAATTACTGAAGCAGATACGTTCCAATGATAAGAACGATTAGCAACATCTCCTTTATCGTCATCGCTCTTTAGCAACATCTCACCACTATTCGTTTAGAAGTTTAGCAGAAAATTATAATCATAATTATAACCAAAGCTGATGATCATAAAACACAAATAGACAAAGAACCGCGATAATGATAAGAGTGGAATGACGAATGGTGGTGTCATCATCGCAATGATCTCGTCACCAGCCATGACGATGGTGATAATAGAGATAAGAATGATTAAAGAAGGATAGCGAAGATGAGAGAGTAAAAATAAAACTTAGTGACAACGGTGATAATAACAGTGATAATGACGAACAGCGAAGGATGGTAATGCCGGTGGTAAATTGTGTTTATAAAATACATATTTATGCCGTAACAGATGTGTATATATATTTATGATACGACAGTGATGAATCACTTCACCAGTAGTGATTTTAGGTGCCATCTACGACAACGCTGAAACACGTTCGATCGATGACAGCCGCCATCTCGAAAATGTCTTACCAAGAATAAGCGATCAGCGTGAGCAAGCTGAAAAGCACGTGGAGTAGAAGCAACCTGTCAGTTGGCATGACTGGTCTCTTGAGGAAAAATGACACTAAAGCTGCCTCAGAGAAAAACTCTGGTTTGATTTTCTCAAGGGATCAGATGACAAACGGCCAACAGTCAGTAATAATGGCTAATTACGAGATAAATGCTTTTCGCTGACCAAAATCTGAAACTACCAGAAAGAAAAATGGTTGCCTTCAAAGCTCAGAGACACGCCATCCAACCTCATTACGTTGAACAAGGATCAAAACTATTGTATTGAAAAATCATCTGATCGAGCACACTGCTTGTGCATAAATGAACCGACTGTTTTGCTGTTTATTCAGTACGAAAACCGACGCACGAATGAAATATTCAAAGTCGAACCTAATTAAAAATGACAGAATTCTCTTACGGTTTGACAAGCTCATTACACGCATAATTTTCTGTGTTTCCTCCCATATTCGATTCGCTGTCAGAGAATGAAATGAAATAAAACAAATGTACATTACAATAAACGACCAAACAACGTCAAGCATCAAAACAGACGAAGCATGGGATGTTATTAAAGAAGGAATGTGAAACGTCTCGGCAAGTGCGCAGTAGGCAGTGCAAGAACAAAGCATATTTTTGGTCCATATGACGGAAATACACTAGAACAAGGAATTCTTAAGCAGAAAGATAAACGAAGCTCTATGCATCCGATCCAATCAACGCATGAACAAAGATGTTGACCAAAATCAGAAGCAACTTCTAGTATCGACGTCATAAGACCGTACTGCATCTGCTTCTAAGGGATTCTGTACGTGAGATTTGATCCTTGAGCATATTATGCCATGATTCAGTAGAATGTATCGTACAAGATTATAAAATCAATAGTTAGTGCTTCAACAACCACTGATTCGCGCATCTGTGAAATAACGAATAGCACTGCATATCGCACAATGTAGTATGGCACACCAGTCAGAACACAGTAAATTTTCCCAAAATTCAGTAAATATGGATAATCGTTGATGACGACCGGTTTCACTTACCCAAACGCTAACCAAAAGTTAAAGATTTAAAACATGAATAGTGAGTCCTGGCGTAGAGCAGCGCAGCTACTTCTGCAGACTGACACATCACAGGTGTGATTTGTGCGCGTTTTGCGAATGCCTCCGGAAATGAATGCGCTGAACAGCTATTAACTGCTCAACCGACCAACCTAAGACCCCGGGGTCAGTCAAAAATCACCTGCGTCTCGACACTCTCTGTTCCAAACTGAGGCTATCTTCTGCCGCAGCCTAGAAGAACAGCACTGGGAACGCTGGTGGCAGTGTCTAACGACTCTGCTTCCGCGCGACCTGCCAAGTGATCATCGAAACTGCCTTACTGCTGTGAGTAGTGCTTGCATGCAAACAACTACTGCAGCTTGACGACTTGCAAAACTAGCACCAACGCAGAACAAACCAGTCAAACAAAATATAGTAAATTACAGTAGGGCGTCGTACGACGCCCTAGCATAACTTGTTAGACTCTGTGGTGCAGATTTACCGTATGCCACGAGAACTGAACGCTAACAATTCACTGACGACATTAAAGCGCATTGTGCATGTAATTTTGTCATTTTTCTCAGGCCACAGCAGTTGTAATGCTTCCATCTGGAAAAGAAACGACTTAGAACGGGGAGGGGAGCTGCTACTGACCACGGTGTCACAGAATTTCTGCGGTTTCGTCAACTGACAAATCCATCGAAGAAACGTAGTTTCTCGAACATGTACACAGATCGCACTTTTTTAATCAATGTCCACCACTTGCCGTGCTGCCCATATGCCATACTGTCCTAAACTGCAGTATGATATACTACACCGCATTTACTGCGCCATACTGTACTGCATTTTGATACAGTATATGAAACTATATCGTTGACAGGCAGTATCAGGAATAAGAATCAGTAATCAAACGGTTACTAACACTTTACTTCGACGGTCGTCACCGCCTCGATGTTGCCCAGGTTGGAGAAGGCGACGCACGTATAGTTTTCGGTGTTCTCGACGTCCTGTAGCATCAGCACGTTGCGGCCGTACGGAGACTGTGCCGGGTCCTCGAGGTTGTGGGCACCCTTTCGCCAGAAGACGCGCGGCATCGGGTGGCCGAACGCGACGCAGGTCAAGTTCACACTACCACCTGGCATCACCGGATACTTGCGATGCGGAGGGATCGAGAAGTTGGGTGGCACACGACGCACTGAAACACACGACAAATTAGCGTGGCTCGAATGGCACATGATTCGACATCATACCTTTCACGTACAAGTGGGCGGACCGCGAGTGCACCACTCCCTTGTCGTTGCGTGCCACGCATTCGTACTTGCCCTCGTCTTCCTCAGAACTGCGTTGAATGACGAGTGAGCCTAAAATCGTCTTTACACTTATTCACCTGACCTTGGGCGGCAAGCCATAGGTTTTCAGTGCACGATTGTGATCAAACATTACAATGTGGCTTGCGCTCAACGGTACAATATGATAGCTGTTAGAAAGCCAGCCACGGTGTGTGCGTTCACTATAAAAGCAGTGGTGCAGTAGCCACAGAATCTAACACCAAGATCGGCCAGCTCACAGCAACAACGTTACCCCGTTGGTTTGGTCAGGTATGTGGGCTATGAGGCTTAAAGGTCGTTAACTTTCTTCTCCTAACCTAACAAAGTACTCTTCGCCAGGAGCCACAGGCAAGAATTCTAACAACATGTAATTTAAACATGTAGTTTGTCGAGGTCTAATTTGAGCCCTTTGCATA